AGCAGCAGGACCGGATCATCGAGGCCCTCCGGGTGCAGGTGAGCCGGCGGGAAGGGGCTCTCTCGTATGTATATATTACATACATATTCACACGCTCACACACATACAGACACGCATACGCACACGAATACGAACACACACATATGCATACGCACACACACACACACACACACACACACACACACACACACACACACACACACACACACACATATATATATTAGATAGATATGTATGTTAAATTCTTACTAGGGATATACTTTTTCTGTTTATTGTTTTATACTAGTTTTAGTTTTATAATAGCCACTGCTATTCAAATCCATATATGCTATATGTATGTTTTGCATTCAATTATTTCAAACAATATCAACAAAGACTTTCCATTCCTTAATGATTCCCACAAGATAGCCACAAAAAGTCACAACCCGTTTCATATACTCCGTTAAGTTCAGATACCCAGTTAACAATTAACATGATCCTACCCACATTAAACCAGCTCCGCGAATATCGACAACCCACCCTCGCCAAGTCTTCAAACCCACGCCAAATACCCAAATAACCTTCTAAGCTAAACCTATCCACACACACCAACCAACCACTTATAAACCCCGCTATATAGACTAACCCATTTCCATCATCACAACCCCTTAAAGACCCCCACACACGACCTACTCTGAACTGACCTTCAACCCCCCCAATTGTTCCAGGTGGGCAGGAACCATGCCAGCGAGACGCACCTGTTCCCCAACGTGGTGATGAAGATGCCTGAACTGCGGCAGATCGGGGCCAAACACCAGGAACACTTGAACTGGTTCCGGTCCAGCTGGTCAAGGCTCAAACTTCCACCTCTCTTCGCTGAGATCTTCGACATACCCAAGTGTGAGGAGGACCTCTTATGAGGAGTGTGGTGTAGGTGAGTGAGCTTCGCGGGAAAGGAAGAGAGAACGAGAGAGGGTGAGAGGGCGGGAAGGTAGGTGAACTGGAACAACTGTAAGGTAATTAGACATGAATTGAAACCGGACCTCGGCTCCAGAACTCCGGAAGAGAGGGTGAGAGGGAGGAAAGGTGGGTAGGAGAGAGGAAGAGGAGGAGAAAGGGTGAGAGGTAGGAAGGTTGAGAGGAGAAGGAAGAAAGGTGGGTGGGAGAGAGGGAAAATAAGGGAGTGGAGGAATGGGGAAGGGTGAGGGAAAGAACGAAGAGGATGGGATGGGAAGAGAAAGGGAACGGCGGAGGGCATTTTATCCAATTCTATGTTTTTATTCGAATCAATTATGTGTAACAAATATAAATAGCAATATGTTTGATTTTCACATACATCTTGCTATCAAATTTATATAAAAAAGGCTTACTGTAAGACTTACAGCAAGTATGTTGCATTCATGGTCCGTGCTTAAATATGTCTAAATATGTCTAAAAAAGGATAGCCATAAATGGACCTCGGGATGAAAAGAATAATAGTTATCTTGTGAAGTAGCGAAATAGAGTCGTTGTGTTTTAAATAAATTGATAAATAAAAAGTTACGGACAAGAAAATCACTTGTAAGGTGCTAAAATGGAAATTGGTTTTAGAAAAATCATTGAGAACGGGAAGAGAAAGAGAGAGAGAGAAGAGGAATAATAAAAATGTACACACATAAGTGCAATAACTTTTGAGCAAACGCTTGCTCATGTACTCATACGTGTAATCCCGTAAAAATAGACCTACTTACGTGCCGGGAGAGATAAACAGTAATATTCAGTGATAATGATTTTTGCATGAAAAGAATGGTGGAAGATGGAGAGGGGTGACTGACGGAGGGGGGAAGAGAGAGAGGAAAGGGGAGATAGGTAGAGGGAGAAAAAGAGAGAGCGAGAGAGGGGGGGGGGTGGGAGAGGGAGAGAGGGGGGAAGGGAGAGAGAGAGAGAGAGGGAGGGAGGGAGGGAGACCGAGAAATGGGTGCACGGAAAAAAACGATATATACAGAGTAAAAATCCGAATGAGAGGAAAGAGAGAGAGGGGGGGGGGAGAAAGGGAAAGAAAGAGCATAAATCTTGTTATTTTTCATATCATGCACTTGCCATTGACTCTTAATCAACTTTAACAGTGATAACTATAGGAACATGTCGATATGCATTATAATAATCGTTATGGAATCGCCGATTAAATAGATAAAGAAAAAAAAGTCCTTTCATTTCGAATAATAAAAGTTGTAGCCCCATTTCATTCAATGCCCTTCAGTCATACCAACTTCCTTTACTTTCAGGAATAATCTCGGCAAAGTAGTGTCATAGCCATTGCCCGGTGGACCAAGCGTGTGATAGTGTCATCCCCGAGTGCGTACGTGCGTGCGTGTGTGTATGTGGGATCCCCAGCCTCATCACAGATCCACGCCCGCCATCAGCCACATCCACTCAGAACCAAGCCCACACGGAACCCACGCCCACCTGGTCGCAGCCGCAATATTGGTAGTCCGTCGACATCGTGTTAGGTAGTCTAATCACGATCAGGTCGTAGGCTTTACATGCTGTCTGAAGATCATGAGCCGTCGCTTCCGAGTGAACGAAGATGGGAGGAGCCAATGCGACTGCGTGGAGACTTCCGACCTCCTCTGTGGGTGCAGAGGCAGGTTGCCTCCGGAGATATTCGACAGATGTACAAAGCACCTCCAGGACGTGTCTTGGAGACTAGGAACGTCTCAGAGTTTCGTCTTCAGGATCTGGAAGCTACCGAGAGTCCCGGGATGAGTAGCGTAACATCCTGTGCATGGTGGTACCCGCCAGTGTTACTTTGGAATGAGAGTGTTGGTATGAAAATATAGCAAGTTTCCCACTGCCATGTTGCTCCTCGGCCAGAAGCCAACGTGATAGCGTTACCAATATTTATTCTACTTTATTGTGTTCTTGGTGGCGTCTAGCATGTATCTAGACACCAGGACAAGCGGGACAGTGTGGGCCACTGATACAGCACTCTGACGTGCCTCTCACGCTAGAGCTATACGTACACTGTCAAAAGAGACAAACAGTTGTAACGTTCTTGTCAGTACAAGTGTCACTTCGTAACACTCGATGAACTCTTCTTCCTCACCAGAACAAGTTCAGCCAAATTGTGTTGCAAGAATGAGACATATCGAGTGTTTGTATAGCAAATTTTAAAGCGCATTTGTCTGTGCTGTTGGTGACTGCAAATCAGCGCCTCAGAGTGACTGTTTATAAATACTCATGTCCCAGCAGCGTGCACCACCAAGAGCTTGTACTCGGTGTGTAGTGTCTGTAATTAGTGAAAGAGCACAATAGTGGACAAGTCTGCTGCAGTTTCTGCTACTTCTGCTGATTATTCTGCTGTTACCTCCATCATCCTTAGCCCTTCTCCCACTGCTACATGACCAGTCACTCCTTCACTGCCCCTCTGCTGAAAAACAAAATAATGTCCTAAGATTTCTTTCACAGGAAGCCTGCTTGAACTCAAGCACTAAGCACAAAGATAAGTTTCCTCTTAAGAATCCCTCATAACAAATATAAATGTGACCACCATGCTCTGTGTTCTATTCTCCAAATTTCGAGGACTGACAGACTGAAGTCAAGTCAGCAACAGCACGACCAAGCAGGCCGACCTGACCACATTGGTCATAATGTCGCAATAGCAGGTAGAGAGCAGAGGCAGCACGGACACTGAAGCAACTGTTACGTAGGTGCACAGGTAGCATCGGATTCTGAACACCGACATGAACCTTTGTAACATTCAGAAGACTAATGATTGGCTCTTTGAGATTTGTTACAATTAATCCCTCAGCGTATTGTGTCCCTTCATGAGTTTTTTTTTTCTTTTTTTGTAAATTCAACATATGAGAACTGTCAATTCAGAGCTAGTATACACAGTCCGTATGTGCCGGGACCTGCGTATAACTGAACTAATGTATACCACAACCTGCATATACTGGAACCTGTGTCTGCCAGGTATGTATGTTACAATTATGTGTATTGTGCCCTGCCATACAGGACTGCAGTATACTACACTGTAGCTATTGTATACCAGAGCCCGGGAAATACTAGAACCTGTGTATACCAGAGGCCATGTAGTAAGGCAAGCTAGACCCATTCATGGAGGTTAAGTTGCTCATGTTACTGAAGGTGAGACTTCGTTGCGATATGGCATATGTGTCCAGGATTTATTGTCTCGTCAAAGAAGGAATCCTTCATGTCATTAGTTCAGATCCAGTTTTGTGCATATGGACACTACATTTGCCTGAAGATGATAGTGGTGGGTTAAACAGTGGTCAGCTGGTGAATACTTGAGCCTTGACTCACGCACACAATGAGACATGGATGTTGAGAAACTACTCAAGCATTTGGGGAGGTTCGCAGGCCTCTGCCGGCGTCGACAGAACTGCGTCACAAACTCTGCGTGGCTTTCAGTGTTCTCAAAGACTGATGATCTTTCCGGTGCCTCAAAACGCCGCCACCGATACCTTGAAGTGTACTTTGTTAGAGTACTTCCACTGGTTCTTTCAGTACTGTTACCTAGATGAGCGCGTGGGTCTCTAATGTAACCATTCCCAGCCCAACAACACTACCCACATAGATTATTTTGTTAATGAAAAGGGTAAAAGGTTAAGGGTTTGACTGTGTTGTTGGATAAATAGTGTCCCTCTCTTGTTGATAGTCTAAGCTAAGCCTATCCCATCCAAATTTATACTACTGTATTGGATAACGGATGAGCAAACACTGGAAGATCCTCATTACAGGCAACGAGACAGAAGGCCGCAAAGTAAGCGATGTTAGGCCACCACAGTCTGCCATTAGGTCTCGTGTTTCACAATGTTTCATGTTCCATCGCACGACTTTCAGCGTCCGAATTTCAAGTTACTGCAGATACACTCCTTAACAAAAGACTACTGCTTGCAGAGAGCTATTAAATCTATTGGTGAATCGGGTGCTAGCACACTGCGGTGACTTAAGACTTCCGGCTCAGGACTTTTAAATGTCAAGGGTGAAGGATTTTTGAGCCATATTCTCAAACTGTA